CCCCCCCCCGGGCGTAGCCCTCTTCACGGAGGAAGCGAGCTTTCCCTTCGAGTACTTTGCGACTGTTGACAAACTCTCCGTCCTTGGCAATGGAAATGCTGCTGCCTGCTTCCTTTAAATGACAGTCCAGGGACGCTATCATTACCCGCAAACTGTCTGGCTCGTAGTCTGAACTGATCATCCTTCTTTGTCACCTCGGCGAAAAATTTCTGAAGCTTCTCGTTAACTTCCTTGGCTTCGTAGCTTACAATATCTGTGATGTATCCTTTTTCTTCTGCCCATGTGGTCCAAACAGTAACCAAGGTCTTAGTGCTTTTCTTTGTGTTCGAGTTTTCTGCATTTTCCTTAAACTATTGCAGTTCTTTCGCGTGAGCGCAGCAAAAGAGTGAGATATAAAGTTGAGCACTCGAATCTCCGCGTACCCATGTATCATCCTCTATTTATCATATGACCCGTAGCGTACGACCCCGAGCCCAATTTCCTTGGAAAACTATGAGAAAAAAGGTCCCTATGAGGGCCGTATGCGTCGAATTGATAGGGCCGGAAAAACGCGTACGGCCCTACTAGAAATGCGTACAGCCCTACAAGGAACGCGTACGGCAAAATCGATGCGAGTTAATGGCAAAAACAAATTTTTTTGCTCTTAAATTTTTGTTTTCTCCAAAATAAGTGATGAAAGTGACCATTTCTGAAACATTCTGGGAGCAAATTTTATAATCCAGGGTAACTGTCCGATTCAGAACTACTTCGCCAACTCACTCCGAAAGCAGAAAGAAAGTCAACACTCCTCACAAATGAAGATTGGAGAACAATTTCAGCGAAACGCGAAGCGAACTTTTGTCACTCGCTAAGTGTTTGATGGTTTTGACATATTTTTGACAGCTTTATGTCAACTTTCTGTTGGCTTTTTAAACAGGTTAGCCGATCCCGTTAGCATCAATTGTAATGTGGACTTCCATTGAAAAACAAAAATGAGAAACTAGCCGTGTTTTTTGATGAATTGTTCGATGCGAAGAAATAAATGACAAATTTTTATTGTAGAATCTCTCTCGTAGTTCCGCGCGCGGCCGTCTGATGTTATGTAATCGCGCCCTATTTAGATCTATTTAGGTTCTTCTTCGTTCAAAACCTACCTCTTGTCACCTCACCTCTTGTCACCTCAGTCATGTCGACATGCGCTGTACACTTCAAAATTGTCCCATTTAAT